GGACCGGGGCACGAACCCGTGTTCCCTGCATCGGCAGGCGGACTCTCAACCACTGCGCCACCAGGGAAGCCCCGATGATGTAATTTTTAAAGGGATTTTTTTTAAACTTTCCCTTTCTGATATTTCATTGTTAGTGTAAAGAAATTCAACAGATTTCTATATGTTAATCTTGTATCCTGCTACCTTGCTGAATTTGCTTATCAGTTCTAGTAGTTTTTGTATGGAGTCTTTAGGGTTTTCTATATATAGTATAATGTCATCTGCATATAATGACAATTTTACCTCTTCCCTTCCAATTTGGATACCTTTTATTTCTTTTTACTATCTGATTTCTGTGGCTAGGACTTCCAGTCCTATGTTGAATAGAAGTGGTGAAAGTGGTCATCATTGTCTTGTTCCAGATTTTAGTAGGAAGGCTTTTCACTGTTAAGTATTATGTTGACTGTGGGTTTGTCATAAATAGCTTTTCTTATGTTGAGATATGTTCGCTCTATACCCACTTTGATAAGAGTTTTTATCATGAATGGATGTTGAATTTTATCAAATGCTTTTTCTGCATCTGTTGAGGTGATCGTGTGTTTTTTGTCTTTTCTTTGGTTGATGTGTTGTATCACATTGATTGATTTGCATATGTTGAACCATCCTTGTGACCCTGAGATGAATCTAACTTGATCATGGTGTATGATCCTTTTTATGTGTTGTTGGATTTGGTTTGCTAATATTTTGTTGAGAATTTTTTGCATCTATGTTCATCAAAGATATTGGCCTGTAATTTTCTTTTATGGTAGTGTCTTTGTCTGGATTTGGTATCAGGATGATGGTGGCTTCATAGAATGACTTTGGTAGTGTTCCCTACTCTTCAGTCTTTTGGAAGAGTTTGAGAAGGATTGATATAAGTTCTTCTTTGTATGTTTGGTAGAATTCCCCAGTGAAGACATCCAGTCCTGGACTTTTGTTTGTGGGGAGTTTTTTAAAATTACAGATTCTATTACACTTCTAGTGATTGGTCTGTTCAAACTATCTATTTATTTTTGATTCAGTTTTGGTGGACTGTATGTTTCTAGAAACTTGTCAGTTTCTTCTAGGTTGTCCTGTCTGTTGGCATATAATTGTTTGTAGTATTCTCTTATGGTTTTTTTGTATTTCTGCAGTATCAGTTGTGATTTCTCCTCATTTATTTGGGTTCTCTCTCTTTTCTCATTGAGCCTGACCAGAGGTTTGTCAGTTTTGTTTACATTTTCAAAAAAACAGCTCTTGGCTTATTGATTTTTTTCTCTTGTTTTTTGATATCTATTTTATTTATTTCCTCCCTGATCTTTATTATTTCCTTCCTTCTGCTGACTTTAGGTTTTATTTGTTTTTCTTTTTCTAATTCTTTTAGGTGGTAGGTTAGGTTGTTTATTTGAGATTTTTCTTGTTTTTGAGGAAGGAATTTATCACTATGAAGTTCCTTCTTTGGACTGCTTTTGCTGCATTCCATAGATTTTGTATGGTTGTGTTTTCATTGTCATTTGTCTCAAGGTATTTTTTAACTTCCTCTTCGATTTCATTGTTTTTGACCTATTGCTTTTTTAGTAGCACGTTTCATCTCCATGTAATCATTTTTTTCTTCTTTCTCTTTCTGTGGTTGATATCTAGTTTCATGCTGTTGTGGTCAGAAAAGGTGCTTGAAATAATCCCTGGCCTCTTAAATTTGTTGAGGCTTGTTTTGTGTCCTAGTATGTGGTCTGTCCTAGAGAATGTTCCAGTGTGCACTTGAAAAGAATGTGTATTCTGGTTGTTGTTGTTTTGTTTGATTTGGTGATTTTTGTTTTTGTTTCTTTTGGATGCAATGTCCTGAAAATATCAATTAAGTCTGTCTGTTATATTGTGTCATTTTGTTGCCTTATTGATTTTCTGTCTGGAATATCTGTCCATTGATGTCTTTTGAGATGATTTGTGATTTTTATCCTTCATTCTGTTAATGTGTTATATCTTACTGACTGATTTTCATATGTTGAACCATCCTTGCATCACAGGGATAAATCCCATTTGGTCATGGTGTATGATCCTTTAAATGTGCTTTTGAATTCAGTTTACTAGTTTTCTGTTAAGGATTCTTGCATCGGTATTCATCAGGGATATTGGCCTGTAGTTTTCTTTTCTTGTAATGTCTTTTTCTGCTTTTGGTCAGGGTAATGATGGCCTCATAAAATTAATTTGGGAGTGTTTCCTCCTCTTCAGTTTTTTGAAAGTGTTTGAGGAGCATTGGTATTAATTCTTCTTTAAATGTTAGGTAGAATTCACCTGTGAAGCCATCTGGTCCTGGGCTTTTCTTTGTTGATTACTGAATCAATTTTATTGCTAGTTATATATCTATTCAGATTTTCTATTTCTTCATGATTTTGTCTTGGTAGGTTTTATGTTTCTAGGAATTTATCCTTTTTTCTAGGTTATCCAATTTGTTGGCATATAATTATCAGAGTAGTCTCTCATAATGCTTTTTTATTTCTGTGGCATCCATTGTAATGACTCCTCTTTCACAGCTAATTTTATTTGAGTCTTCTTTTTTTTCTTAGCCTAACTAAAGGTAGTCAATTTTGTTGATCTTTTTAAAAAACAGCTCTTAGTTTGGTTGATTTTTTTTCTATGATTTTTCTAATTTCTATTTCATTTATTTCTGTTCTAATCTTTATTATTTCCCTCTGACAACTTTGAGCTTAGTTTATTCTATTTTTTCTAGTTCCTTGAAGTACAGAGTTAAGTTGTTTGAGAGCTTTCTCCTCTTTTAATTTAGGCACTTAATGCTATAAAATTCCCTCTTAGCATTGATCTTGCTGCATCCAATAAATTTTGGCATATTGTGGTTTCATATTCGTTTGTCTCAAGGTATATTCTAATTTCCCTTTTGATTTCTTCTTTGACCCATTAGTTGTTCTAGAGTATTTTTGTTTAGTTTCCACAAATTTGTGAATTTTCTACTTTTTCTTCTGCTATTGAAAGTGAGGTATTGAAATCTCCTAGTAATATTGTGTTGCTTTCTGTTTCTTCTTTCAGTTTTCTCAATGTTTGCTTCATATATTTAGGTGCTCTGATGTTGGATGTATATATATTTATAGTAGTTATATCTTCCTGGTGAAATTGACCTTTTTATCATTATATAATATCCTTTTTGGTTTCCTTTGAAAGTTTTTGACTTAAAGTCTATTTTATCTTATATAAGCATGGCCAACCCTGCTCTCTTTTGGTTACAACTTGCATGGAATTTATTTTTTTATCCTTTCATTTTCAGCCTATGTATGGCCTTAAATCTAAAGTGAGTTTCTTGCAGACAGCACAGTCAGATCTTGGTTTTTATTTGTTCAGCCACTCTACGTCTTTGATTAGGGAGTTTAATCCATTTATAGGTAAAGTAATTATTGATAGGGAGGACTTACTATCGCCATTTATTAGTTGTTTTCTGTATTGTAGCTCTTTTGTTGCTCTTTTTCTTTCTTGAGGTCCTCCTTTGTATTTCAAAGAATTTTTGGTAGTGAAGTGCTTTTTTCCTTTCTCATTTTCTTTTGTGTATCCTCTATAGGTATTTTCTTTATAATTACATGGAACTTACCCAAAACATAACAATCTATTTTAAGCCGATAAGAACTAAGTTCAATCACACTTAAGAGCTCTTTTTTGTTTTCTTGAATATTTCTTTTTTTTTTATAGCATCTCATTTGTAATAGATGGAATATTTTCTCTTATTTCTCTGAGGGTATTAGTGATGGCTTTTTGAAGTGTTTTTTTTTTTTTTTGTCCTTGCATAGTTTCTGTTTTCTCCCATTTGATTTCATTTCTTTGTTTGCTCTGTTCTCTTTCACATTAGAGGCTTTTCTCAGATGCCTGATAATCTGTGCTCATATTTATGAGTAGGGGCCAAAAACAGATTGGAAGCTCTGAGCAAATGAGTGATCCTTATTGACTTTGAGCTTCACTTAAAGTCATCTGGCTCGTCCATTTCTTGGAGAAATTCCACATCCAAAATCAGCATTTTTAGATCTTTCTTCTTGGGGTAATCAGATTCCCCAGAGAAGAGTTCAGAACTCTTGCATGGGAGAGTACCACCAGCATTGTGGGAGCCTAATGTGAGGAAGTGTTTGGGGTAACCTCATCATTCAGAATGCATTATTTCTCTTAACCTCCTAGTTTTTAGGAGCAGTATTCTCATCCTCAACTGTATCTAGCTCTCCCTGTGTTCAGAGAATGAACCTCCAGTATTCACCAAGATTGGGAGTGGTCTTTACCCAGTAGCATATTATAAGGGAGGTGTTTAAAGATCTAACCTTTTTTTAAAGAGTTTTCAACCTACCCACCTTATCTTAACCCCAGCTCTTTACATCCATTTCCAGAGACACCTGAATATATCAGTTCCTAAACTGTTTGAGGATTCTCAGGTGTAGATTGGGTTAGTTCCTGGCTTTCTCCACTGCTGTTTTAAGATTCAGCTTTCTTGAGTACACTCGTTCAGTTATTTTCCAGCTTCCAGAATATTGTTGCTATTGCCTCCTTTCCTTGTTCTTCCTTACCTTGTCAGTTTGTATTAAAAAAAAAAAGTCTCTATAGTTTTTGGAGAGTTTTCTGGAGGGATTGAAATTAGATGCATGTGTTCAATCCACCATCTTTATCTGAAACTAATTCCTACCACAATTAAATAGTTGCCTTACCTCCCTAATGTGTTATTTCTGGTGATCCTTGGTTTATATTAGGTGTTATACCTGAAGAACCTTAGCCCTCGGGTGACCGAAAGAGATCTTGTCTCATTATTCGCTCGGTTCCAGGAGAAGAAAGGACCTCCAATTCAATTCCGAATGATGACTGGACGAATGAGGGGGCAGGCTTTTATCACTTTTCCCAGTAAGTAGCTTCATCTGGATAATTACTCAGTTGTAGCATAAGTTCATTAGTGACTACTTATCCCCTCTCTTGTTTAGATATAGCGCTTTGATTTCTCTACAGCACATGAGAAGTATGTGCTTGGCCAAGCACATGGGAGGAAGGGAAGAGAACTAAGGAAAGCATGTTTTTAATTTTTCTCTACTTTCCCTTCTGTGCTTCCTCTCCTCCTTTGACAGTGCACAACCACTTTACACCTTTGTCCTCACTTTTCCTCAGTCTTGGCACTTCCTACTCATGCCATCAAAATTTACTTTCCCTTTGCTGAAAATAGTATTTCTAGTCCAAGTTATAATTATGTTAATTATTAATGTATTGGTATTCTGATCAGAACACTCATACTTGCATTATGCCCTATTCCTTTAGGACTAAGAGACTGCAAGATATTATGCTATTATGCCATATTATGCTAATTCATTAGTAATTCATAATTAACTAGTAGGTGATATATTCTTTTAACTATTGTTTGCATCTTAATACATGATTTCAGTATCCTAAACCAAAGGGAGAAATAATACAGGCATATCTCAGAGATATTGCAGATTCGGTTCCAGACCACTGCAATAAAGTGAATATCCCAATGAAGCAAGTCACATGAATATTTTGGTTTCCTAGCACATGTAAAAGTTATGTTTGTACTATACTGTAGTCTATTAAGTGTTCAGTAGCATTTTGTCTAAAAAAACAATGTACATACCCTAACTTAAAAATACTTTCTTGGTAAAAAAAATGCTAGCCATCATCTGACAGTGCAAGGTTGCTAGAAACCTTAAATTTGAGGGAAAAAACTGCAATATCTGCAAAGCATAATAAAGCAAAGTGCAGTTAAAAAGTTATACCTGTATAGGAATTTCAGTTCCTATGACAGACCAGACTTTCTTTTTTTGGTGGAGGCTGGGTAGGAGCTGTGCCTTTTATTATCCCTAAAGTATCATCATTTATATATATCCTAGTAATCTATTTAAAGGGAAGTGCTTTTACACATGAGCAATGCCAAACTCCCCTGCATTCTTTTCATACAGCATTGTACCATCTTTCCTATCTCATTGAAGGTTTGTGGATCCTCAACGCTAGTGATTTTTAGTCTTTTCAAGTGTGAGAACCCTTTTTAGACTTATAAAATTACTTCATGCACCCCCACCTAATATGATCTATTAATTGAAAAGATATGTAATAAAAAGGCTTTATACACTAAGTACTTCTAAATAAATAGCCATTTTAGTAATTATACATGCATTTGAAAATTTGTAGTGCATACATATATGAGACATAAATTGGTCCAATCTAAAAACATTGCTTGTCCACTTATGATTTCACAGACTCTAGGCAGTAATTCCATTCCTTCCTAATTTCCCACATCCAGGCTCTGAGACCCATAAATCAAATCCTCCTGCTATATGCTATATACGCTTACACCTCAAGCTTCCATATGCCTGCAAGCATTCTTAAACTTACTTATCCTAATGAGGGCTCCTACAACCACTCTCTGATCAAAAGGAAAAAGTAGCAAAATGTCCTCAATACCATGATAACTTCTTTTATTTGTCTTCCCCATTTTGAAAATGATTTCATTCTTACAGTACCTATAATCTGTTATCTAAGATAGAGGTTTGTGTATTATTAGTTATAGCTTAACCCTCTTTAACATACTGTCTGTATCCTTGTTTCTTTACCTATATCGTTGAATTAGGAGAAGCTCTCAAACATCCATTTTAAGATTTTATTGTTGTTATTCTTAGCCATTAGTTTAATCTTGCTGAGTTATTACAAATTTGAGATTGTAGAAAACCCAATAAAATCAAATAATTACGTGGCCTTATAGCCTACACTGAACTCCAAGGCAAAACAACATAAACTAGACTTGGAATAAAATATATTAAGCCACATATAAACTGATGTTTTTTCTTTCTCTTTTAGATACAGAAATAGCATGGCAAGCATTGCATCTAGTAAATGGATATAAACTACGTGGGAAAATATTGGTGATAGAATTTGGAAAGAACAAAAAGCAGCAGTCAGATATCCAGGCTGCTTCTCTAATATCATCTACTACAGATAATACTACAGAAATCAGTGGCAGCTAGAAGACATAAAGATTGTGAGTCCCAGGAGGTCTTTCTTGCATCAGAATCTAAGATCTAGGATTTGTATATAGATAGCAGTTTATTTGGAATTGAAGAAGAGAAGCTAACTGAGGGAGAGAAAACTGAATTAAAATCCCTTTCAGCTTTTGGAAAGAATTGGTAGAAAACATTTTCTATAATCAAGCACTCTCTGGGATAGACAATATAATGAGTATGGAGAATAGGGAATAAAGAGTATCATTTTCTCAGGATAAATTACAGTAGATTACTTCCAAGGGTTTTTTTTTTAATCATTATAATTTATATGAGGTCTTAAATATTTGTCCCTAGAGATAACATTCTTTCAAGACTGGCTCCTATATATACAAAACTAAAAAACTAATTAAGTGTTGAAATATTTATTTCTAGAGCCCATTTGTCCCTAAATTTATTTTCCTAGTAAATAAATGACCAAGACTCCAGGCCTAAACATCAGCAAATGCTCTTGAATGAGACCTATCAGCAGTAACAGTAGGTATTTTTCATAAGTTAGTCAGCATATTTAATGGACATTTCCCTATTAAGTTATCACTGTCTTCAAATAGCTTTATATTTTTTCTAATGAAAGAATTTAGATCAAAACATTTATGTTCTCATAGTCATTTAAGCTAGTTACCATTGAGTAATGATTGAATTCAAAGCAATAAACATTGAATCATTGTCTATTACATGTTAGGGATTAGATATATTAATTTTAGAAGAGGAACATACTAGCAAAGAATACTAAAGAGGGGTAGAAATAAAGAGCTCTCTAGAAGAGAGACAGCCTACCCCAAATCCCCCAGTTGTTTGTTTGTAGTTGCTGGAGAATAGAAAGATGATATGATATAGAGGAAGTAGTACAAACTTTGGAGTCAGACCTGTTTGAACTTCACAGCCATACTTACCACTCTGTGACCTTGGCAAGTCACTTAATCTGAGCCTCAGTTTTCTCATCTATAAAAATGATGATAATAATACTACTTACCTCATTGGGTTGTGATGTTTAATGGGATAATTGTATCCAGGTTGAAGATCAGAAAGAAAAAATAATGAAAATATAATGGGGTAAAGAACTGTTAAGCACTCCAACAAACTTGTAATGGGAATATCAGAGAAAGAAAGGAGCAGAAAAAATATTCCAATAAATAATGGCTGTAAACATCCCAAATTTGATGAGAAACATTATCTACACATCTGAGAAATCTCAATGAACCCCAATTAGGATAAATAAGAAGAAATCAACAAACATACCATAATAAGAATGCTAAAACCCAAAGACAAAGAGAAACTTTTGAAAGCAACATGAGACAACTGAAGCCACTTACAAGGGAACCTCAATGAGAGAGATGACTTCTCATCAGAAACAATGGAGGTGGCAGTGGGAAAACATATTCAAAGTGCTGAAAGAAAAAGACTGTCAATATAGAATCCTATATTCAATAAAGCTGTTTTTCAAAAATGAAGATGAAATAAAGACATTCCCACACAGTCAAAAACTGGGAGACTATGTTGCTGTCAGGCCTGACTTACAGGAAATATTAAAGAAAGTTCTTCAGGTGGAAAGCAAGTGACCTCAGACAGTAATTTGAATCTACACATCTAAAAAATTAGCATGGGTAAAGGTAATTATGTAATTATAAAAGACAGTCAAAATACATTTTTCCTTTCTTAATTGATTTAAAAAGCTATTTTATAAGACAATATGTATATAGTTGCATTGTTGGATCTATAACATATAAAGCTGTAATATATTTACCAATAACAAGACAAAGGAAGTGGGTGGAAACAAAGCTGTATTGGATTAAAGAAATGACTCTAAAATGGTAACTCAAATCCACAGGAACAAATGAAGAAAATAAGAAATGGGAAATAAGAAGGTTAATATAAAAAAGTTGTAAATATATACTTATTCTTTCTTCTCTCAGCTTCTTTAAAAGACATAAAATTATATTAAGTAATAATTATAATGATGTATTGTTGGGTTTGTAATATAGAAATAATAATAACAATAATACCACAAAAAGTGAGAAAAGGAATAGGTTTATATAGCAATAAGGTTTTTATATCTCATTGGAATTTAGTTAGTATATAGCTGAAGCCAATTAAGATGTGTATGGTAAACCCTAGAGCAACCGCTAAAGAAATAACTAAAAATACATAGTGAAAATATTAAAGACATTTAAATGTTTTATTAGAAAACATTCAATGCAAAAGAAAGCAAAAAGAGGAATGGAGGGCTTCCCTGGTGGTGCAGTGGCTGAGAGTCTGCCTGCCGATGCAGGGGACATGGGTTCGTGCCCCAGTCCGGGAAGATCCCACACGCCACGGAGCGGCTGGGCCCATGAGCCATGGCCGCTGAGCCTGCACGTCCGGAGCCTGTGCTCTGCAACAGGAGAGGCCACAACAGTGAGAGGCCCGTGTACCACAAAAAACAAAAAAACAAACAAAAAGGAATGGAGAAACAAAAACTTCAGACATATAGAAAAGAAACAGTAAAATGGCAGTCGTAAGTCCACCTATGTTAATAATAAATATGAATGGATTAAACGATCCAATCAAAAGGCAGAGATCATCAAAATGGGAAAAAAAAAGCCTTACCTCTATGCTCTTTATTGGATTCACACTTTAGATTCAAGGATACAGACTGAAGGTTAGAGGATAGAGAGAAATATCAGGCAAATGGCAACTATAAGAAAGCTGCAGTGGCTATACTATTATCTAAAGTCTATTTAAAATGGACTTTAAAACAAAAAAATGTCACTATAGGTAAAGAGTGACATCTTATATTGATAAAAGTCAATCCATCAGAAAGATATAACAATTAGAAACACATATGAACCTAACAACAGAGTACCAAAATACATGAATCAAAAACTGAAATGTGGCTTCCCTGGTGGCGCAGTGGTTGAGAGTCCGCCTGCCAATGCAGGGGACACGGGTTCGTGCCCCGGTCCAGAAGGATCCCACGTGCCACGGAGCGGCTGGGCCTGTGAGCCACGGCCGCTGAGCCTGCGCGTCCGGAGCCTGTGCTCCACAACGGGAGAGGCCACAGCAGTGAGGGGCCTGCGTACCGCAAAAAAAAAAACAAACCTGAAATGAATGGAGAAATATAAAAGTATACAATAAGAGTTGGGGAATTAAGTACCCCATTTTCAATAAGAACTAGACAGAAGATGAACAAGGGAATAGAAGACTTGAACAATGCTATAAATCAACTAGACCTTAAAGAGACTTATGGAACACTTCACCTAACAAGAGCAGAATACACATTCTTCTCAAGTGCACATGAAACATCTCCAGGACAGACCATATCACATACCATAAAACAAACCGCAATAAATTAAAGTGGATTAAAACCATGCAAAGTGTGTTCTCTGACCACATGGAATGAAGTTAGAAATCAGTTACAGAAAGTTGGGAAACACAAATATGAATTAGACACACTTTTAAGTGACCAGTGGGTTAAAGAAGGAATTACAAGATTAATTTGAGATGAGTGAAAATGAACACACAAAATGCCAAAACTTCTGGGTTACACCTAAAGCAGTGCTTAGAAATGTATAAGTACAAATGCCTATAATTTAAAAGAAGAAAGATAACATATCAGTAACCTCACTTTACACCTTAAGACACTGGAAAAAGAGAAGGAAACTAACTAGAAAAAGCAGAAGGAAGGAAATAAGAGATTAGATAAATAAATGATATAGAGAATAAAAAGTCAACAAAACCAAAAGTTGGTTCTGTATAAAGACCAACAAAAGTGATAAACCTTTCAGTAGGTTGACCAGGAAATAAAGGAGACTCAAATTACTAGGATCAGAAATGAAGGCAGGAACATTGCTACCAACCTTATAAAAATGTAAAATAAAAATTATGAAGGAACACCATGAACAATTTTATGCCAATAAATTAGGTAACTTATTTGAAATAGAAAAATTCCTAGAAATACATGAACTCCTGAAACCAGTTGTTGGGGGGGGGGGACAAAGAAAATCTGAAGATAACCTGTAACAAAGTGGTTAATTAGTAATTTTTTTAAATACCCATAAAGAAAAGCATAGGCTCAAATGGATTCTTGGATTAATTCTCACAAACATTAAAGAAGAATTAATACAAGTTCTTCACAAACTCTTCCAAAAAGTAGAAGAGGAGGGAACACTTCTGATATATGCTACAACGTGGAAGAACCCTGAAAACATGCTAAATGAAAGAAGCCACTCCAAAAGGCTATATATTATATGATTCTAAATATACAGAGACAGAAAGTAGATTAGTGGTTGCTTAGGGCTTCAGGTAATAGCTGAAGTGTATGGAGTTTCTTTAGAACTTGATGAAAATGTTCTAAAATTGTGGTGATGATTGCACAACTCTGAATATACTACAAATCATGAATTGAACACTTTAAATGGGTGAATTTTATCTTACCTGAATTATATTTTAATAAAGTCACACACACATACAAATACTGGTTATAACCTAAATGTCCATCAGTATGAGAATGGATAAATTATGGCACATCCATTTAGTGGAATACTATACAGGCATTAAAATAATGGGATATATCTATTAATGCATTCTGACCTGTATGATGTCCAGGATTTTGTAATGTTAAAAAGGTGTGTGTGTGTGTGTGTATAAATATATGTACACACACACATATATATATGTGTATATATATATATAGAATACTTTTTTATAAACAAAAGCATTTGTGTATGTATGATATATGTATATATAGATATTTCTGAATAAACTTAGGAAAAAGCTGGGAAATACACATACCAAACTGTAAACCTTTTAGAGGTGGGATTGGATAGGCTGAAAGGGGACTTGCTTTATAAAATTTTTCAAGTGTGATTTGGGCTGATTTTTACTTTTTTCAGTATTTTTTTAAATAAAGAAAATTTTAATATTCTACCAGTGACTTGGCTTCCAGAATATTTGTCAGGCCTGCTCTGAGGATATCATCTAACTATACTCAGGACAAACATCTGTTCCTTTGATATACTGCTCACTTAGGATTAACTCCAATTTTAAATATAGTTTAAAGGACAAGAAGTAAGTTATACTGGTATAACCTCTTGCACATGTTACCCAGGAGCATACTTCTAAGCTGGACTTTTCAGAAGAAACTTCTTCCTGTTGGGTATAAAATCTCACCTCTGCCCTTTACTAGACCTGCAGACCATTAACAATAGAGGAAAATAAAAATGGAGGATGTCCCTCAACTGGTGCATAGATAAACTGTAATATATCCATACAATGGAATACTACTCAGCAATAAAAACTATTATGAACTATGATACATGCAACAACTTGGATGAATCTCAAATGCATTTTGCTAAGTAAAAGAGGCCAAACTCAAAAGGCTACT